ATGAGCGAGCGCGTCAATGGCATTGATCATCCATCAACCATTCTGGAATATGTAAGTATTGAAAATATAGTGTCTGACACATATTGTAAATATATATTTTCGGCCCATTTTCAATGGCTATTGAGTACAAAGACTTTTCACATGCATGAACCTAGGTCTCAATTTCGAACTGGGAAGTGATTGAGAAGTGAATAAAATTATCATTAATTGCTATATTTCTCTGTTCCCTTAGACACATTTGTCGCTCTACTCGTTTGCCAATGGACATGTAGGCATGTCCCTAAAGCTTCTGTACCGGGCACGCTATCTGCTGGTGCTTATCTGTGGCGAGGATCATCCCGAGGTGGCTCTGATCGATGTGAGTAGCCAAATGCAATAAGCTGAAGATAGTCCAATTAAATAATAATTTCCCATTTATTTACTCACACAGAGCAACATTAGCTTGATACTGCACGCGCTGGGCGAGTACGAGCTGTCATTGCGTTTTATTGAGCATGCGCTCAAGCTGAATCTGAAGTACTTTGGCAACAAGGCGATGCATGTGGCCGTCAGCTATCATCTGATGGCGCGCATTCAATCCTGCATGGGTGATTTCCGCTCAGCGTTGAACAACGAAAAGGAGACCTACTCCATTTACAAGTCACAGGTGTGTGTTGTTGAGCAGCCCATTGGGAGCAGCATCTGACTATAATCCTCTTTTGCATGCTTACAGCTGGGCGAGAAGCACGAAAAGACGCGCGAGTCGGCGGAGTGTCTGCGTCTGTTGACCCACGAGGCTGTGGCGTTGCAGCGCAAGATGAACGACATCTACTCCAATGGGAAGCTGACCAGCGATTTGCCGCCCATACACATAACGCCGCCCTCGATGGGCTCTGTGCTGGAAATGCTAAACACAATCAATGGCATACTCTTTGTGCATATCAGGTGGGCAACCAAATTGAAATCTAATCTAATCTGTATGCTAAAGTCTGGCTTGAATCCACAGCCAAAAGGACATTGTAAAGGTTCGCAGCGAGATTGAGAAGCATTTGAAGACGAATACCGATGAGAATGATGTGCCCGATGAGAGTGAGATAACCAGTGCACTCAAGACCATTGTGGCTGCTGTCAATAACAATGACAATGCGTCCGAGACTGAGCAGCCAAAGGATGAGGCATCCGCAGCAGGCACGCCCACGCAGCTAACAAATGGTAGCGAGGAGTCGACTGCGACGGTTTCAAGTTGAATGCAGCAACAACAGTAACAGGAATGCAGACAGCAAGCATTCACTATTTCATAGGCAACAAAGAGACACAACACACACAGCACAGACACACACACACACACACACATACACATACACACCAAAAAAATCACACCAACCATCTACATGAGAGTCACAAAATTTTCAACTGTTGTCCAGCATTATTGTGTTTGTCAACGTTTCATTTTATTTCGGGGACTGAGCAAAATTCGCAACAACAAAGTGTTTTTACTTTCAAACAAGAACCGAAATGAATAACCAAAAACTAAAAGAGAAAAGTATACAACTAAAAATAACAACTAAATAAATAAAGCATAATTATTTATGTTTTTTCTAAAGGCTGCTCTTCTACTGCTCACATGTGTAACGTTAAATATTACTATATACAAATACCGTGTACGGCCATATCCTTAGATGATAAACGGCTTGAAAAATTTTAGCTTTAGTGTCTATCAAAAACAAAACATAAACAACTACAAAAAACTATGAAACACACTACCAATCATCCTCCTAATCATCAACAGCTTTAGAGAAGAACAAAAAAAAACTTAAACAATTATCATTGTCTGTAGCAAACCATTTTTTTTTGTTAAACATTTGATAGGCGCCAGTCAAATGCCTTGTTTTTATAGTTTATAAAAACGTAAAACAACATGTAGCTAGTATGCATTGTTTTTGTTTTGTTGAACAAAAAAATATTTACATAATTTAAGTTTGCGCTTAACTGAAAGAAAAGCGACAGATAATACGAAGTACGAGAAATCAAATGAAAATGGTTCTTTTTCTGTTATACAATTACCATATAGATATATAGAAATATATATATACAAACATATTGTAATGCATACTACATACACACACACAAACACATTTGGGTCCTTTTAAATGCCAATAAGGACTTGAAACATTTAATCACATGAACAAAATGTTTTTTATTATTAAAAATGATTAAATAAAAAAAAAACCAAAAAATTCAAAATGCAATTCGATATCGATGTCAATAACTAAACTTAGTTACTAATTAAATTAAGTATATATAGTAATTTATATATATATATTTAGGTGTGTATTGATAGTACCAATTTAGAATAATTCTCTCAGCGCACATCACTTGCGCTTCCTGCACTTGTTTCGCCCCTTGCGCCGTCGACCCGGCGTCTTTCCGGGCGACTTGCCATTCTTGGGTGTCTGCGGTTGTTGTGGCTGCTGTTGCTGCTGCTGCTGCTGCTGGGATTTGGCGCCGCCCGCAGTAGCACCCGCACTGCTGTTCGCCGTACTGGCCGCAGCGCTGTTCTGCTTGTTGAGGCGATTGGCGGCGCTCTGTCCGCTTATCTTTTTGGAGGGCAGCAGATGCTGACTGACCAGCTCGCCTAGCACGCCCTGATGTGCCAGCATAGTGAGGAACGTGCAGATGAACTTGTCATAGTTGTGTGTGCGACGACTAGCGTCCACCTTAAACATTTGCCGGCGATCGTTCTCATCGGCCAAATGTTGCTCATTGATGGCTATTTCCGTATCCAGATTCTTGAGCAGCGATTGTAAATCGCGCGCTGTGAACGCACTAGGCTCCAGCAGCGTGTTGGGCGTATCCGGACGTTGCTGTTCATCACGCTCGCCCTGCTCATCGGCTTTGAGCAGTTTCTGGAGTGTGCCGGAGACAATTGCCTGATTGGTGCGCAACATCTTCAGCTTGTGCGTAATGGCTATGCGCCGATCGGGCACCACTGCCATCAGATTGAAGCGTATGTCCTGCTCGCCTGTCGCTATGCCCAAGCGTTCAGCCATGACGCGTCGAAACTTATCTGTCCAATCCTCGTGCTCTTCCCAGCAGCCATGGTTCATGGGATATGGCTTTAAGCCGTCCAGCTCGAACAGTTGCCCATTTATAGGCACAAAGCTGACAAAATGAAAGGCTTCGCCGGTAAATCGACAACTCGCTACACCAGCTCCAGTGCGTTCCAGACGACGACGCGCCTGCGGCATGGCATGCGAGTTGTGGGCACAGGCCAGCTCCGGCGTATTGCCTATGGCTAGACCCTTGTTTTCGGGACTCATTCCCTTGGTGTGAGCCTTAAGACGACTCAGCGTTTCGCCCAGCTGTAGATTGTTCTCGTTGCAGTTGAGTAGCACGGAAAGCAACGCATGGGTTGCACAACTATTGGGCACCACCTGCTGGGCAAAAAAGATGCTCGAGATGGCTTCTTCATCTTTGACAAATATCTCTGCAGTTGTCTCCACTATTTTTCGACGCGCCCGACGTTCTTCGATCCAGCGAAAAAGAAAAATGAAGCCGTATGGACTCTCAATGGGCTTTTGCAAGTCGTACACTTCTTCGACTTGCACGTCGTGGCCTTCAATGATAGTCGCCAGTGAATAATATAACAATAAGCTGTTCTAGTTTATTTACTTACAGCCAAAATCTTCCAGCAGCAAAGTAAAAAGACCCGGATCCGATTCTAGTTCTAGCCAGCCGTCCGCCAGTTGTGCCATTGGTAGTGTATTATTGTTGCCGGCACTGCCCGCAGTGGTGCCGGTGCCGCCGCCTGCGACGTTCATTGCGCTGGCCAGCTTGAAAACGGATTTTTACAGAACTTTTTTCACAATTATCAAATGCAAACAAATTTGTTTTTCTGCGCCGCAGGCCTGTGAGTGGCAACGCTATAGTTGCTCGCGTTTTGTGTGAATTACAATTTTCTTAAAACAGTGTGGCAACATTTTAAAGATTTACACTCAGCTGTTTTGACGTAACTCTCGCTCGGCATTTTCCTGTCTTGCAAACTAAATCAGATTTTAAAGTTAACATGGTGCGCTTAAATTTAGTCTCATTAACAAAACGTGTGCCTCTCATACAATTCCGCAAGGGCGGTCTAGCAGCGGCGAACAGCAAGCCAAGCCCAAGTCAACAGGCAAGTTCAAAGGATTCAGAAGGCAAAAAGGTTAACTATATAGCCCATTTACTACAGTAGACGTTGCGCACTACGATTAAGATATAAATTCTGTTATTAATATTTCGCTTCAAATACCACAGGTTTCAGGTGGACCAGCAATCGAAGACTGGGAACTGCCTGCTCGTTATGCCCGTAAGCCGATCGACCCACTGGAGGCTGAATATATCAATAATGGCGGAATACCAAATTAATATTTGCTTTCGAAATGACTTAAGCGTTGCTTAAAATAAATTATTTAATCGAATGAATGCCTTGTAAACATATCGTAATGTTTTGCTTGTAATTTGCGTGACAGCTGTTTCGACATTCGCATGCAAACGCGGACAACATATGTTAAGTGTAAATTGATTTACGTTGATTAAATTACAAGAATTTTGTATTGTGCGTATACTCTTCGTTTGCAGCTATATTTAAATTGTAAATGCACAAACACATTGCAGAAAGCTTACTGTTAAGTGAGGAGCAGCTATGTTAGATGGGGAGCCATGCTGCATATTTATTGGAATTGCCATTCCAATAGGTTTCAGTGCTTATCTTGCGCCAATGTAAATCAGACGTGATTTCTCGTTCGTACGACATTTACCGTTGCCGCTGTCTGTGTTTGTTTTGTGTTACACCGCGTCGACCGTCCGTCCCATCCCCCGCACAGCCGTCGTACGGCACAAAGAAAGAGTGGAAAATTTTTTCAATTTTCAAGGCAGAACCAGCCAATTTTACTAACTTTTCGCATTGTGCCATATTGCGTAGCAGACGTGTGTGCATTTTATTTTTGGCCAGAGCAACGTGTGCTGGCCTAAATTCCTGTCGACCCTTTAGACGTTCATTCTTGGATGGGTGTGAAGCGTAGTATGCAAGTTAACTGGTGCAGCAACAAGGACTGTTTGGGTCTACGTAAGCGTGTCTGCGGATTGCATCAAACTTGGAAGTGGCTACACCAGACGCCCGCCCTGCACGAATATCTCATCTCCGCTAGCTCTGTGGCAGCAAACATCGCAGTCAGCAAGTCCACCACGCTCTAAAGTCCAAAACAACAACCAAAAAAAAAAAAATATAAATATAAAAAAAAAATAAACAAAAGCAATAAACCAAAAGGAATACGACAAGCAGAGCAGAACAACAACAAAGCGTCAGACAGAAAAATAATAAGCTAAAATAGAAACGCTACAGATAATAATTAATACAACTAAACACAACCACACACACACACACAGCTAGGCATAGACATATAGACAAACTCAACCTAACCACAAAATAAGTAAGAACAGCGGCCGTAAAAACCTGCCCAAAATATATACATACATATGTATGTATATATATATATATCAATTAGCGACTTGCGCTGACGTTGACCTTGTTTTTGTAACAACGAACGCAAATAGTGAGCAAGTGCATTGCCGTTGCCTGGCAGACAGTGGGAGAGCGAAAGAGAGCGACATAGCAACAGCGCCAATTGACTTCCTTGTAAGAAGAGCGCAACAACAACAACAATAACAGCAACAACAACAGCGGCTGCAGCGAGTTGTGCAATAAAAGAAACAAAAAAAAAAGACCAGAGAAATTTATAGCAGCAGCTGTGCCATTTTGCCTGATTGTTTAATTAAATATTTAATATGAGCATACTGTTGCGGCGCAATTCGAGCCAGCTGCACTTGCTGCAGCGTCTGGGCGCAGCGTCGTCGGCAGCAATCACGCGGCTCGCATCGAGCACTAATGATAACAACAATGTAACCGACACTGCAACAACAACAACAACAACAACATCAACGACGACATCTGGCAATAAGCGCAAAACGCTTGCTGCTGTGGCCGACGCTGATATCAAGAAATCAGTTTTCATTTCGCAATCGAGCGACATCTTCACCAATTTGGCACTGGAGGATTGGCTGTATAAGAACTTTGATTTCGGGCATCATCATGTGCTGCTACTGTGGGTCAATGAGCCGTGCGTTGTCATTGGCCGCCATCAGAATCCGTTTACCGAGGCGAACGTCTCCAAGCTTATGGAGCGCGGCATCACTCTGGCCCGTCGCAACAGCGGCGGCGGTGCCGTCTATCATGATCGGGGCAATCTCAACTGCACCTTCTTCACGCCCCGCGAGCGCTACGATCGCAAGTACAATCTGAACATTGTGACGCGCTCCCTTTTCCGCGAGTGGGCCATCAAGACGGAGATCAATGATCGCGATGATATTGTTATCGCCAACAAAAAGGTTAGACATGTGGCCAAGCGCCAAATGCTTAAGCGATTATGCACTTAAGTGCTTATCAACCTAATTGAAAAAAATAACACACATCTGTTGAGGCTTGGCCTCCAGCTGAACCCCGCTTCGAATAAATAGCCTTCAGCTTATGATTGCTCGAAAGACAACGTATCAAATTGATTTAATGAAAATTTTCCATTTAAAAAGAATAAGCGCATCAATTTACTTTTGCAGATCTTCAGTTCTGAAATTTAAATTGTTAGCCTTGAAGAAGCCATATCCTAGCCGGAAAATAAAGCGAAGGCTTACAGTTATTATTATTACAATTTTGTCATGAAATGTGCATAGAACCGATCCCATATATATTCTTGATCAGTCTGACAGACTGAGTATTGTATAGAAGGGTATTTTATATTCGGCTACCCGTTGTATTCCCTTTGTTATCTCTTATTAATGTTTTCTTTAACATTGTCTTTGTCTCTTCATTATCTCGTTCTTAATTGGCTTCAACCTTTTTAATATGCTTCCACACACTAACTCAGCCATTCTATATATTTCAGATATCAGGCACGGCCGCCAAGTTGGGGCGACCCAATGCGTATCACCACTGCACCATTTTGGCCAGCGCCAACAAGCTGCATCTGGGCGAATCGCTCGTCAAGGAGCCAGCCAATTATATAAGCCGTGCCACCGCCTCGGTGCCGTCGCCCATACGTAATCTGGTCGATGTTAATCGCAATGTGAACGTGCCCCAGCTGCTCTCCGCCGTGGGCTATGAGTATCTGCGCACCGCAGCGACAGCATTGGAGGATGGCGGCAGCACGCAGACAATGAAGCAACGCGGCTTTCAGTTGATCAATCCCACGGAGAAATGGTTCCCCGGCATTGAAGAGCTGCGCGCCAACTATAGCTCCTGGGATTGGGTCATTGGCAAGACACCCAAGTTTACGGTGGAAAAAGAGCTCGAGGTGAAGGGCGATGAGCGTGGCATGAAGCTCAAGCTCAATGTTGAAGTGGAAGCTGTGAGTATTATCATATCCTTCAATTCGCTGCAAATATCTAATGCATCCCTTACGCTTGGACAGGGTCTGATGTCCAAAATATGCTTGCAGCTGCCCCAGAGCGAGCAGCTGGTGCCGGTGGTCACTCCACTGCAGGGCCAAGCCTACAATGAGCAAAATCTGAACGCCATCATGGGCGCCCTCAAACTGGTCTCCACCTCAAATATGCAGCAGGCGATGAACGGCTCAATTTGATTTTTGTTTCGCTAGCAGGATCAACAGCGATAATAGTTGACTCTGTTTAAGCCATTTCATATATTTTACAATCTGATTTCATATTATGATCTATACAACTGGTCTAAATACCTGAACTAACGTAGCATGTAAGAACATTAATATTTTCCATATATATTTTATATACTTTATATACGATTTGCAATAAAAATGCGTTACATGAAATGTACTGTAAAATGTTTAAATTGTTTAAGAAAAGGAGCAGTGACTTGCACTTATGACATTCGAATGCCCATAGGCTCTGTGGAAATAAAGACCGATTGTGGGCAGATTGGGTGCATTAAGCTCGTGGAGGTTCGTATTCCAGATTGACATTAACGGTTTTTTTTATTTCAGAAAAAAGTCACTTTTCGATTTTACTGCCAATCGATAAGGGCGATCAGAACGAGTTCAAAAACGTATATCTTTCCAAAATCGGACTAAAAATAGGCGAATTGTCTCAAAAAACGAAAAATCTTCAAAATTATAACGGCATTTTTTCGCTTTTTTTAAATAGCCGTGTATCTCGGCCAAAACAAGTCCGATCTTGGCGAGATTTGTCTCGTTCGACTCGTAATCAATTCCGCTTTTAGCCAAAGTCGTCATTTTGGCAAAAAATTTCGGATTTTTTGCAATTTTTGCGTTATATGAAATGTACTGCAAACTGTACAGCATCCTTTCGGGCTACCAATTTAAATGCTTGTTTGTTGTATATCGAACTCTATAACATATTTTCGGGCTTAATATTTACAAGATTTCGTACTGCTAAAAATAAAAATAATGTATACCGCATGCAATAGAAACTCTTTTGTAAATAGCGCAGCATACTTTATTTAAGACGCGACTTTCGACTTTTGTAATTTGAATATCTAGGATATATATATAGATTTAGGATGTAAATTGTCCGATTTCGGTAAGATATGCTCTTTCAAATTGTATGGACCAATTCTGACTAAAAGTGGAGATGAAGCGCTTTTATGTTTTTCATAAATCTTATAATTCGGTCAGGTCGATAGACATTAAGATTATTAAAACACTGCCGACTTCTGAACATATTTATTTATCATTTTTATTATCAAATAAATATTACACACAGAGAAATCAAAGCTTTCGTTTTGCCTTTAATGTAATGCCAAAAAATGTATCATTTAGTAGTTTGAACTTTCTTTTTCAATTAACTACCAGACGTTGCCGAGTTTTTGAATTCTTGGCCAAGAACACAATAATCGATAGTAATAAATAAAAACTGATCGTTAACGTTTAGCAACAGCTATTACACATTTAATTTTCAATTGGTTATACATATACAATAATATGCATATAATTAGTGCGCATAGTTATACATTAATAAAAATATATATAATATATATTCATATATATGTATGTATATATATGTGAGCACAACTAAAAATGCAAACGAAATAAAGGCGTACGCGTACGTTTACAAATAGGTATATATCGTATATAGCATATGCTATATATCCATAGCATATTATATAAATAGTGAAAAATAGTCAAAAACATTTTACATATATAGAGTTATACATACATACAGCATACATATATATATATAGATTAGTATAAATAATTGTATATATATATTTATAGGTTTAGGTTTAGGTTTAGGTTTTTAAATGCAATTCGTTTTTTGTTTTGTTTTTGTTTGTTTTTGTTCGTTATATTTAATTAGGTCTAACTTAGGTTGTTAATTGTTAGAGATTTACATGCGACTACCCAGCTTAGATGTTTGTTATCCGAATTATGTTTAGGATTTTCTTAATTTGTTGTTTGTTTGCTTTTCGTTTTAAATGTTATTTACGTTTAGCACACATTTAGTTAACGTTATTATTATTACGATTATTATTATTATTATTATTATTAGTATTATTGTTTTTATAGTTTCTATTATTTGTAAACTAATGCTAGAAAAACACATAGCAACAATTGTTGAAAATTCGTTAAGCTTTCTGTTCTCTGGTTGTGCTTGCTTATTGTTGATACTGTTGTTGTTCTTTTTGTTTACGTTTTGTTTTTGTTGTTGAGCAACTTACTTAATTTAAACAGAATTTCGTTAAGCACGCTTATTATTATTATCGTTTTTACTCGTTTCTTTGAGTGTAGCTCGGCGTTTAAAACGACCGTTACAAATTGTGGTGTGCAGCTGTTTTTATCGTGTTATCGAGTTATCGTTAATCGTTATCGTTATCGTTTTTTTTTTTTTAAATCTTTAAACAACTGTATTCTATCTACAAAAGGAAACTGTTACTACAATTCAATTCACTTTCACGGGGCGCAGACGGGGGGAATGTTCTTTATATATATCATTTTTTTATATAATTGTTCTTCATTCTTTTTCTTTGTGTTGGGCGTACGGCGTGGGGCGGGGCATTGTTCGTGTGGGCGTGGCACATGCAATGACTTGCTTAAAGCTTATACACTCAAACGTGTGTGTGTGTGTGTAGGGTGTGTATGAATGTTTGGGAAATTGATATAGAATGGAAAAAGAAAGATTTAAAAAATTGAAAACGAGTTTGTGAGTGGGAAAAAGGCGGAAAAATGCTTAGTTTTTTTTTTTTAGTTCTTGGCAGGGGCTACAGTTGCGTTCATATACATATAGTCGTATAGTTCAGTTATAGTGTGCTCTGT